TCGGGTTAAAAATAGCGTGGGTCAGGGACGCGGAGCAAGGCCCGCGCCCGGAACGCATCCCCGCGCCCGGCCCATTTAATACCCTGCGGACGTGGAGATTGTTTGTAGTTAACTTCTAGCGACATCCTGCTTGGGAAGTGAGCTTTCAGCCCTTTCCTGGCAAGCAGTCATTAACATCAAAGGAGACTTAGTGGTTCGACCTTGGCACTTGAAGTTAGTTTACCCAGCGCTGCGATTTCCCTTCACACTTCGCGGCCCACTGTCGTTCGGTGCTGGTTTAAGAATGTTAAGCGCTTGGCGTCTATTTGCCCACTGTGCATTCAGTAGGTTGTGCTTTTATAGCCAGTAACGTTTAACTCCACCATTGATTTTGACAATGGAAAAGAACGTGCCAGTTTCCTGCATGTGTTTTAATGTAGAGCTTCAAGTTTTCCGATGATGCGCTTGTTTTTCTACTTGCACTGTATGTCTCCAGTTTTATGGAAACTGGAATGGTGCTGGTTTCTTGCAAGTGTCGAAAGACACGTGACTTTTTTGTACAAACCTGTTTATAAGAAAGTTAATATTTTAATTCCAAAAGTAAAAATTATACGAGAGAAATCAAATTTAAATGTAAAAAAACCCACATTTAGTCTCATTGAAGGTTTAATTCAGTTTTAATAATTTAGATTTTTCACTTAAATGAAGAGGCAATGTTTTTTGTTGTATTTTGAAATTATCCTTAGGTTTCTTAAGGAATTTCTAGTTTCAGTTTGAAGGCTTTGAATAACCCAGGCAGTAATTTTGTAGTAAGACTATATTGTGTTAATGGTGTGAATATTTACCTAACAAATATTTGAGTGGGTATATTCCAGCACTGTGCTAAGCGCCAGCAAACAGGCATGAATAAATGATCTTTTTCCTCATGATCATTCAGGGATGGAGTGGAGTATACACAAAGACGCCATATGGTAAATTCCGTATCAAAGATACTTAAGTATAGTAGATGAAACAGGAGGGGATCATTGGGGAGAACTTTAAAGATTTAAAGAACATTTGAAGGAGGAATACTCAATCACTTCAGTGGGGGATATGGATTGGCTTTCTAGGCAAAAAAGATCTCATGTTCAGTAGGAGGAAAAGTTGAAGCAGTGTAGAGTTGTGTAAGTACTTGGTTGGAACATGGACATATTGGGCAAAAGTGCGGTTCTAGATGATTATGACAAGTAGATTTCAAAGCCCTGGCTCCTTCTAAGGTTAGACTTGAAAAACTGGTCTTTTGTGTACAAGATATCGACTGTTGGGTTGTATATGGAATAGTGTCCAGTGAAGCTACGACTTGAGGCAAATCATTGGATTTGTTAACAGTGTAAAAATGGCCAGACATGGATAGAGATCTGCTGCTTTAGAACTTATGTGTGCCTAAAATCAGTTGTTGTGAGGATGGAGATGTCTACAAGTTAGAATATATATAGAAGTAACAGTCTTGTGATGACTAGCATATTTCTGGCTTGGCTTGATAACAGCCTTTATTGTCCAAGTCCTTAAGAGGAAGAAGTCCTTAAGAGAAAGAGGACAATATTTGGATGGTTAATAAGGATATATTATTGGTAATCCCTTCAAATTGCAGTGTCCTCTATATAGGCAGTGGTGTATGTGAACCTGACTATTTAGAATACAAGTCAGCAAAGAAAGGAATGGTTAGGATGATGCAGAGAAACATCTTGACATCACTGTTAGAATTTCAAGTAAAGAATGCTCAATAATGTCAGGTGCCATGGATAACTTACGTAAAATAAGAGCCAAACCATGTCCCTTGTTTTTGGTGGTCAGGAGACTCTTGATGGCATTAGCAGGAGTAGTTTCAGTAAAATCAGAAACCACCAATGTAGGCTAGGTGGGTGGTTGTCTGGTAAGGTAATGGATTCAGTATTTAGGGACACATGAGAGAGTTGGTGTATTAGAAAGAAATATGAGCCGGGCAGTGGTGGCGCATGCCTTTAATCCCAGCACTTCAGAGGCAGAGGCAGGCGGATCTCTGTGAGTTCGAGGCCAGCCTGGTCTACAAAGCTACACAGAGAAATCCTGTCTCAAAAAACGAACAAAAAAAAAAAAGAAAAAGAAAGAAAACTGAAAACTAGTTTCAGTTGCTACTCATTTGTTTAAGTACTTTCTTTAGTGTCAGCCATTATAATTTGATATGCAACAAAAATCTTTGTGTTTTCCACTTCTGTTAAACGACTATTAAGGTTCAGGACTCAAGGTTTAAATATTTTTCCTGTTTCATCAAACACTTTTTTCTTTTAGCATTTTGAGGCAGTGTTTCTCTGCGTAGCCCTGAGTGCCCTGGAACTCACTCTGTAGACCAGGCTGGCCTCAAACTCAAAGACCTGCCTGCCTCTGCCTCCTGAGTGTTGGGATTAAAGGTGTGTGACACCACTGCCTGCGCACCAGACATTTCTTTTTCCTTTCTTTTTCTTTCTTTTTCTTTCTTTTTTCTTTTTGTATTTTGTTTTTCAAGACAGGGTTTCTCTGTATGGCTTTGGAGCCTATCCTGAAACTCACTCTGTAGACCAGGCTGACCTCAAACTCACAGAGATCTACCTGTCTCTGCCTCCCGAGTGCTGGGATCAAAGGCGTGTGCCACAGACATTTCTTAAGTGAACCTTTTTTCCCCCCAAGCTGCTAATACTGCTGATTTTTACTAAAGCCAGCAGTTTTACCCATCAGTCTATTTGCTTAATCAGTGCAAGTGTCAACATACTAGACTAAATAAAGTAATTTGACCTTTTGTAGGTTTCTGGATGAGACTTGGAAACTCAAGGGGTCTGCAAGCTGAGGTTAATGTTGTACTATAAGAAAAACATTGTTGGGAATCAGAAACAGAATAGAGTAAAAGCCTCTGTGGGTGTGACGTAGATATGAGCACTTCAAAGGTAGGCAGGGAGACTCGGGAATTGGCTCGGTGGGGGAAGTGCTTGCTGCAGAAACTGAGGACCTGAGTTTAGATGCCCATCAGGCATACATCAGTAATCTTGGTTCTGTGGGAAGGAGACAGGTGGGGCTCACTGGCCAGCCGATCCAGCAGAAATAAGTTCCAGGTTAAGTGAGAACAACAGAAGATGCTTCCCATTGGCCTGTGGCCCCAACGTGGGCACACACAAGTTAGTGCACACACTTAAGAAAAAGCAAAACCACCTAACAACTAAGGCCTGGCCAGTCTCCCTGCTGGGGAAGGGGGGCATACTTAAGCTTGTATCAAATACCCTGAAATGTACGAAGAAAACCAATTTTTATTTAACTCAAATTTTCTCAGTGGCTACTAGTGCTACTAGTTCTCCATAGTAAAACAGACTCATGTCAACCCAGCCAACCAAATCAACAATGAAGATGCTGATTTACTCCAAAGGTCATGTAAGTAATTGAAAAGTCTGAGAATTATTATTTATCACATGTGGTCAGAGGATGGTGTGCAGGAGTTGGGTCTCTTTCTTTCATGTGGATCTGGCGATGGAATTCATCATGAGGCTTAGTGGCCACCATCTTAAGCAGCTGAACCACTGGCCCTGAAAATGATTTTAAAGTAAATATGTTTATATTCCTTGGGGATTTACAGCTCTGTACTCAACCAAACATGTTTAAGAGTAAAGATGACACAAAATGCTTTCAACATAATGACTAAGATTCAGATAAGACTTCTAGCTATTTCAGCTATGTCTGGGAAATCTACATCCTGAAGGACTATGGAACTGTTAGCAGAGGCTTATGTGGTTGTGCTGTAGAAGTGGAGAGAGGGGAAAAGAAGCACTTTGATACTGATTTCATTGCTCATTCCATGATAGTAACTTGAAATGTCAGTGCTCTAAACATTTCAATTGATTCTTTCAAAATACTAGGCATGAAGAATTTAATTTAAGTAGATAACTTTGGTTTAATGGTGACATTAAATAGCAGTGAAGATCCTATTAACTAGAAGTGCTTTATTTCAGCACCCATAAATTAGGATGAATTCCACCATTTCCCAGTAGAATTCTGAGAATAAGATATATGGGTAGGAGATAATATTGTGACTCTGGCTATAGGATAGATAATTTACTGAAAATACCAGGTGTCCCCAAGTTTTTCCTGCATGAACTTTTATCAGTGTAAACATTTTTGCACAAAGTCCCTTTCTTCATCTGTAATTTGGGTGTACATTTTAATGTTAGTGCTTTAAGGGATATTGTACATTGAGAGAAAATTTACATATATTTTGTTTTCTTTAGCTTGATTTTTGAGGTAGGGTCTCATGTAGCCCAGGCTGGTCTCAGACTTGCTTTGTAGCCAAGGCTGGCCTTGAACTCCTTGAATTCCAATACCTGAATGCTGGAATTTTACATATATACCATCATACCCGGCTCATATCTTTAAATTCTCATTTATGTTATATTGCAATAATTTCCTTTTCTCCTAACTTCTAATTTGATAAAGAAGAATCTTTTTATCTTACATTGTGGCTTCCAGTCCTCTTTTGTACATGAATGCATTATCAATCAATATATCTTAGCAGACAGGTTCAAACTACTGATTCATTTTGTAAGGTTCGTTTGGTTACACTGTTTTATTCCATTGACCTGTCTAGACGGGGATAGGCACACTGGAATATATAGACACTAAAAATGAGAAAATAAGTGAGGTTATTTCTCTGGTCTTCCAGGTGTGGGATTCAGAACATTGTTAGTCTGCTGCATCCACATTTGACCTTCTTAACATACAGGCCCAGCAATAACCTTCTCATTCAGTCAAAAACTATATGAATAGGAGTTTAAATGTTTTAGAAAATTCCATGTTTGTGCTTTCATTCTTCTTGGGTAGCTGGTAATGGGCAAGGAATTAGTGACATTTATTATAGACTGCAGTGCGGGCTGTCATGTTCATAGAACACCCAGGTAAAGTGAAGGAATACAACAAACTGTTTAAAAGGAAAAAATAGTATTATTACCAAGTTTAATGTGCATCCTTTAGATTCAGACTTGGGGGAGAGGCAGTCTGGAAAGCGCGTGTCCTGTTGTGAATGTCACTTCTGTTCTGTATGATTGCTTCTCTATGAGAGTGTGATTCTGATGTTGCATTATTATGCTCAGGAATAGTAGGAAACCCAGTTTTTATGTGCAGCATCCGACTTTAATGATAAATTCACATTTTAAAAATAAATACTGAAAGAATTATACAAATCTACTCATAGATCAGGTTTTACTGGTGGGCAGCTAGTATATAACTTACTGTTTTGGTGGGATTTTGTTTGTTTTGTTTTTTGTTATACAGCGCCAGTTGGCCTGGAACTTGTGCAGCTAAGACTGGCCTCAAACTCAAATCCACCTTCCTAAGTGCTGGAATTAAAGTTGTGTGCCCCAACTTCTAGCTAGTATATAGCTTCTAATCTTGACCAGACATTCTGTACAAAAATAAAATAAAATAATAGAGAGTGTGTGAGTTGCTTATATGGTTACTCAAAAAATTATTTTAGGTATTTCAGTTATTATAAATGTGTGCCTTGTTGTTTTATTTCTGGGTAAGATGAATATAAGAATTGCTAGCATGAAAGCAACACTTGATAGGACAATACAATACTCCTAATTTCTGTATTAAGAAACTAAGGGTGTTTTGTTTTGTTTTTGTTATGTAACAAAATACACAGAAAATGCTAGTGGTAGAGTTAATTTGGAATGGATTAATGTCTGTAGCAGTCCAGGAGAATAATGGTTGAAATAGGTGAAGCTTTAAAAAAGAAATGGGGGGGGGGCAACAACTAAGACGTAAATGCTGGTGTGTTTCAGAAATAGTAAAAACTACAATGGTGATTGCAGTACCTGGCAACATAGTTCAGCTAAATCTAGAAAGAAAAAGTTGTGGCTGCATTAGCCATGCCATTTATGCCAAATTTGGCAAGCATTTTGTTTGTTTTTTAAATACAGACTTGAAAAGCATTGGAGGACTTCCTTTAAACCAGATTACATGATCAGATTGCTATTTCAGATTAGTGTGACATCATCTCTAAAGTAACTTTGTCCAAAAAACAAAACAAAAACATACAAGTTACAGAGTAATTTAATGTTGAATTAGCCATAAAGGTGGAATTAATCCAGTGTATCATCTTTGTTTTTTCTTTTTGTTGTTGAAACAGTCTTGTGACCGAGAAGTTCCTGTGTAGCCGAGGATAACCTTGACCTTCTGATTCCCCCCTTAACCCCCAAAATGCTAGAATTACAGGAATGCACCACTACATTCAGTTTATGCAGTACTGGGGATTAAAGCCAGGGTTAGTGCATGCTGGGCAAACTCCTGATCTTGTGTCACCTTGCTACACAAGCTAGAGTCATCTGAGTGGAGTGATTGATGGAGGGACCAGCCCATGGTGGATGGTACTGTAAGAAGGCAGGCTGAGCAATCCATGGGGAGCACACCAGTAAACAGCACTTCTCCAGTATCTCTGCATCAGCTCCTGCCTCTAAGATCCTTTTCTCTTTGAGTTCCTATCCTGACTTCCTTTGATGATAAACAGCAGTGTGGAAGTATACACCGAATAATCCCTTTTCTCCCCAACTTGCTTTTTAGTCGTGGTGTTTTGGTGCAGCAATGAAAACTCGGAACTAAGATAACAACTGACTCCATTCCCAGCCCCAGTGTATATATTTTTATATTAAATCTTTGAATCTGTGGTGTATTTTACACTTACAGTGTGTCATAGTTTAGATGGCAACATTCACAGTTCAGCAGGCAACATTCACAGTTCAGCAACCATTGGTGACTATTTTATTGGCTGCTGTAGCTTTAGAGCCCTCATAATGGAAGATTGGAATGAGATAAGAAACAGGAAGTTTGTTGAGTGAGTCCAGTGAGAACCGGTAAGGGCCTAAACAGTATGCAGCTAAAAAAAAAAAAAAAAGTGGTTCTAGACTAGATAGCACATAGGAAGTGGAGACAGAAAGATGCAGTTATGTGAGCTGAAGGCCAGCTTCATCTACAGAGTGAGACTTTATCTTTAAAAACTTTTTTAAAGTTTTACATTCTGTATAATATTACGCAACCTGATTTTTTTTTAATTTGGTATTAGGTTTCTGCAGCACCTGTATTGATGTCACTAGCTATAGTTCTTGTATTTTTTCCTCTGGTTTGTTTGTTTGTTTGTTTGTTTGTTTGTTTGAATGAGGAGCTGGAGAGATGGCTCAGCTATTAAGAGAACTTGTTCTTAAAAAGGACCGGGTTTGAGGGCACTGCAAGAGGGCAGGGTAGTAACTAGAGTATCTCTTCTGATATGTAACTTTTCATTGTAAGAACATACTGCTACAATCAGTTTTCCTGTTGCTTTTCCCTCCCACAGTGTTGCTGTGAACAGTCATAGAGAAGTCTCAGTACATGAGAAAGGGTCTCCTCTTAGATCATTGAATTATTGGCTCCTTTGCTGTGGACAGTCATAGAGAAGTCTCAGTGCATGAGATCTTTGAACTATTGGCTTCTTTGCAAGCATTTTACAGGCCATTTCACCTACTTTGTAGTTTGTGCTATATTCAAAAGCTGACTTCTGATTTTAAATTTTCTTCTGTAGTTGAAATTGACTATCTTTTAAAAAGTATTAAATTCTACATGGTCACAGATTTTCTTTTTTAAAAGCTTTTTCATTTAACTTGTGGCTCATTTGAAGGATGTACTGAGTAGCCATTTACCAGTTTTCTATTACTATATAGTAAACTGCCCCAGCATAGCAATTAAAACAGCAAATATTTATTATCTCACCTTTCTGTGTCAGCTATTCGATGGGGTTGTACTAATCTCACAGCCTCCAGCTCCCTCATGACTGCCAGCCTCCATGGCTCCACTTCTAAACTCGGTCATGTGGTTGTAGGCAGGTCTTGGTCCCGTGCCCTTTTCAGTCTCTAAAATGTGCCTGAGAGGGTTGCGGGTATAGTGGTGGAGCACTTGACCTAGCACGCTCAAGTCTTGGGTTCCATCCCTAGCATGTGGCATGGGAGACACTCATGCTGGATATAGCGGCTCACACCTGTGCCTCCAATGCTCAAGGAAGATCACCGTGAGCTCCAGGCCACCCTGGGCTAGACTATGAGACCCTTTCTCAAAAGCAAACAGCACAAAAGTTGTCTGAGCTTCTGGAAGTAGTCAGAATACAAAAGAAACATAACTTGGGGGTGGGAGAGTTGTTTACTTGTTTTAGTAAACTTGTTTAGTTTACTTGTATCTCAGCTGGCCAAGAACTCACTGTGTAGCCAAAGGTGTCCTTCGATTTATGGTCCTCCTGCCTCTGCCTCCCAAGTGATGGTATCACAGGTATGCCCCCTTGTGTTTCAGTGTTGGGGATCAAGCCCAGGGTTTCTTTGCATGGTAGGCAAGCTATATCTACAGGCTAGAAATACCAGTCCTATTATGAAGTAATCTTAGAAGGAACCTGTGTCTTCCACTATATTCACTACTTGGTATAGTTAAAACTCTTGATGGAAATTATGCCATCTGGATATAACTTGTGGTCACCACAGTCCTTTCTCAGTGATGTGCAGTGGCAACTCTGTCACTTAAAAATTTGCCAGACTTGCCAGGTGATGGTGGTGCATGCCTTTAATCCCAGCACAGAGACAGGAGGATCTCTGAGTTTGAGGCCAACCTGGTCTACACAGCAAGTTCCAGGATAGGCTCCAAACATACAGAGAAACCCTGCCTTAAAAAACAATAAATGAGTGAATGAATGAATGAATGAATGAATGAAAACTAACTTAAGGTTAGACTCAGTTCTTGCTTTTTCTCCTACTGTATACATTCTGAGAGACTATTCATATTCCTTGGTACCTATGGAATCTTAACAGATCTCAAACTGTATGTAGACATTGCCTCAGGTTCTTCAGGTCTTGTGTGTGTGTGTGTGTGTGTGTGTGTGTGTGTGTGTGTGTGTGTATTTCTTTGGAGAAACCTTTGATTATTATGATACTGATTATGTCCTGTAAAACTCAATAACCCAGGATGACTCATGAGAAGCAATGTCTAGTGTGTTAGTTTTCCATTATTTAACAATATAATGAGAGTAATCCACCTAAAACAAGAAACTGTTTTAGATTCACAGTTTCAGTGGTTTTGGTCCATGGTTGCCTATCTCAGTCACAGTATAACAACTTTACTTGAGAACAACCCAGAAGCAGAAAGAAACAGATAGGGCCAGGTTCCAAATATTTCTTTGAAAAGAGTGACTTTCCTTTTAGTAAGGCCCCACTTCCTAAAGGTTCTCCCACTTCTCATCATGCCATAGGCTGGCAGCATGTCCTGGTATCTAGGGAACACTCAGCCTAACTGTAGCATCCCATATTTAACACTGTAGGCTTTGATATGAATTGTCCACAGAAATGTTTCTACTGCTTGATGTGTGTAGCTTTCAGCAGAGAGACTCACATCGCTTTAGTTTTCTATTCTAGGGAAGAACAAATGGTAAGAATGGTACCTAGGCAATCTTAAATGTGAGGAAGGAGAATTAGAACAATGTACATAGAGTTAGTGTTAGAGGTGGGCTGTAAAGGAGGACTGTCTACAAAGATTACATGCCGGAGTGAACATGTGTTACAGGCAGAGGAAATAGCCAATGAAGAACCTGAAGGAGTTGTTGTAGTGACCAGGCAGCAGATATGTAATGTGTAGAAAGTTAAGGTAAAGGAAAAAAAAGTAGCAATGTATGAGAAGTTAGATATAAAGTAAAGGTTATTTGAGAACTGAGCTATTTGAGGGCTTTGAGCAGAGGGAATGCATTCTGCCTTCTGTGTGGGTTTAAGCTGCAGGGCTGTTATATAGGTAGTGCACTGAAGCTCGGGCAAAGAAGGAATCAGGAATAGAGGCCCTTAGTGCAGAATCCAGCCAAGAGGTGATGTGACAGTCATTTAGATTAGGAGGAGGTGGTAAGTAGATTCCACATGTATTTTGAAAATAAGAACTGTTGACATTTACTGAATTATTGATTTTTCAGATATGATAGCACCCAAAACAAAGCATTTTTGTTGTGGAAAAATTTAGAAGACAAAAAGAAATTAAATCTTGTATCTTGTGTTGCACTGAAAATTTCTGGGTTTTACCCTCTTTGGGTGTAGATATGGAAACATATATAGTGTATATATGAACAGAGTCTATGTGTAATGAGCATGTTGCTGTGTTATTAAAAAGTCTATTTTAGTAATTAAAAGTTTATTCTGTTGTATAAACAAATTCTAGTTTATGTGACTCTCTGGCAATACTTATGATGCTTCTGGGTTTGTCTGTTACAAATATAATTTAAGGAAGCATTATTATATTTTTAAGCATATGCTTAGTCACGAAAACAATTTCGAACTACTTTTTGAAACCAAGAAACACATGGAAGGAATGTATCATAAGTTAATGAAGTAGGGTAGAACCTCTTCCTGTATAACCTCTTGTTCACTGGTGACCTGAGCCCAAAGCAAAAATACCTTCTATTTACTCCTGTTTATAATTTGATAAAGATTTCTTTGCTCTTTTTTGTTGTTTGTTTTGAGGCAGTGTCTCTATTATCTCTGGCTGTCCTAGAACTCTTTTGAGTCTGTGTAGACCAGACTGGCCTTGAACGTAAAGCAATCCAGTGCCTCTGCCACCATGCCCAGCAAGTTTTCTCTGAATTTCATATTGTATGGGTTAGTGTATTCTATATTATACTTGGGAAAACAGAATGACATTTGTACATTTTTTAATGTTTTTAATGTATGGCTAGCAATTTCTAGAACACTTGTGAGCCAACTTTAATGATCTGTGTACTTTAATGACCTTTGTTTGGGTGCAGTAATGCTTTTTTTCTTTTTCTTTTTTTTCTTTTTTTCTCCTCATTTTATGTAGTTTGCTTCCATCTTTGCTTTTGCCACCTGTGGCGGATTTAAGGGCAAAACAGAAATTCAAGTGAATTGTCCTCCTAAAGTTGGTGACAATAAGACAGTTACAGCTACTTTTGGTTATCCATTCAGGTGAGTTGTTTTTAATTATTGAACAACTAACTGTTATTAACTTCATATTTAGTCACTAGGGTTTCTAACAACTAGCCTGGACACAGGGGCAGAGGCCTGTACTCTGAGCAGTCACAACACTTGGGAAGTCAAGGCAGGATGATGTTCTGAAACAATTTGTAGAGCAGACCCTTCCTCAACTCTCACATGCATCATGCATGCACTTAGACATAGTCTCCAGCGTTTCCTCCTGGAAGGTGGTAGAATAGTTTAGATTTGCATCTTCACTTGTGAGTTTTACTCAGACTATGGTATAGACCAGTGCCTGTCTGCAGACTTTTTTCTGGTGTCTGATGGAGAAAATGTACAAAGGGGAGTATATTCATTACTTCCTAGTTGCTGAGACCAAATCCCTGACAGAAATGAGAGAGTGAAGAATTGCTTCAGCCCACAGTTTCGTGAGGCAATACCATGTTAAATTGGCCTCACGAACTTGGGTAGAAAATCATGGTAGTGAAAATTTGTGGCAAAGGTGGTTCTTCAACTCATGATGAAGCAAGCCTCTAGCAAAGCCCCTTTCTAATGTTTCCAGAACCTGCCATAATAGTGTCACTGGGAGCCAAGGATTCATTACATGAGCTTATGTGAGATATTTCATATTAAAATCGTAACAGAAAGGCCAGGTGTGGCGTTACATGCCTTTTATCTCAGCACTCAGGAAGCAGAAGCAGGTTGGGTCTCAATGGGTTTGAGGACTGCCACAGTCTACATAACAAGTTCCAGGATAGCCAGGACAACAGAGAGAGGAGAGAGAGGGAAAGGGAGAGGGGAGGGAGAGGATACCAAATGGCAGCCGAAAGCAAATATTTAGAAACTTACGGTACTATGACATTGTCTTGACATTCTGTCAAGAAATGGAGGAAATGGAACTGTTCTATTAATGAGCTACTCTACTAACAAGAAGCAAACTTAATTTATCAAGATACACATTTCTCATATTTCTGCAGTTACTGAACAAATAGTATTTTATGTCATTTTAAGACATACAAAGGTATACTTGTTTCTCAGTTATAAGACCATATTTATTTTATTTTTAAAGGAAAATAAGCAGTAGCAAGCGTCTTCTGTTCTAAAGTCTATTGACGTATATCTATGTCCAAAATAGGAATCCTCTGCTTAGCTTTGCTTGACTTGATCTCTCAAAGACTCCATTTTCTGTCCAGTAAATTGGAAATATAATCTCTTTTTTTTAAAGATTTTATTTATTATGTGTACAACATTCTGCTTCCATGTATATCTGCACACCAGAAGAGAGCACCAGATCTCATAACGGATGGTTGTGAGCCACCATGTGGTTGCTGGGAATTGAACTCAGGACCTCAGGAAGAACAGTCAGTGCTCTTAACCTCTGAGCTATCTCTCCAGCCTGGAAATATAATCTCTTAAGGATGTTTGATAATTAAAAACTTTTTGAGGCAAGATTTCACTGTGTAGCCCTGGTTGGTCGGGAACTTGTTGTGTAGACCAGGCTGGTCCAAGAACTCCTAGAGCTCTGCCTTTCTTTTCCTGAGTGCTAGGACTAAAGACCTGCTCTACTGTGCTCTGCAAATAAAATATTACATTAAAGGTCTGAATATCCTGAGAGCTTACTAATCATCAAAGCTTTTTTATCGCTTATCCATTCATTTTGTTACAGTAGTCATCATCTTTAATTAATGACAGTTGGGTTTATAATTTACAAATGGGTAAGTGTAAGGCAATGTGACTTTTGCTTTAGCAGCTAATTAATCAAGGGTTAAAATAGGAATCATGGGGCTGGAGAGATGGCTCAGCAGTTAAGAGCAGTAGCTGCTCTTTCTGAAGACCTAGGTTCAATTCCCAGCACCCACACATGGCTCACAATTGTCTGAACTCTAGTTCTAGAGGATCTGATGCCTTCCTCTGGCCTCTGCAGACATGAGGCATACAGGTGGCTCACAGACACTGATGCAGGCAAAACATCCACACATAAATTAAAAATTAAAACTGGATCTCCAGGTTGGTTGAAAGTATCTTTAAAAGAAAAAAAAAAAAAAAAAAAAAGGAAGAAGGGTATCATCGTTAACTGGTTCTCCTAGAACTAGTGACAAACATCCGCCTCCTAGAGTAGAAATGGGAGTGGTAAAAGACTTTTTTATTTTCCCTTCTAATAAGATATGTTTATATTGCAGGAAGATAATGTCTAAATGTTAAAACTGTTTGACTCCATTTACATTCAACCTGTCATAAACCTATTACTGAATAAATTTATGGGTATATATAGTATAAAATTTTACCTTTTTAAAAAAGAAAACATTTTTAGTGTATCTGGGGAATAAATTTTGAAATGTCAGTATTCTGCTAAAGTATTTCTCTGTTAGAGTCCAGTGATCCATTTATTGATTTAGGTCTTCTTTTAATAGGTTGAATCATGCATTCTTTCATCCGCCTCCAGATGTCAATGTGTGTGATGTGAAGTGGGAAGACCACGTCCTCATAGGTGACTACTCTTCTTCCGCACAGTTCTACGTCACATTTGCAGTCTTTGTGTTCTTGTACTGCATTGCTGCCCTTCTGCTCTATGTGGGTTACACCAACCTCTACCGGGATAGCCGAAAACTTCCCATGATCGTAAGTCATCATTCTATATCTCTATACGAAGACAATGTCTGTAAGTGTAAGCAAAGTTATGTTTGTAAGTAAATAGAGGATTTCCTACTAGAAATCCAAATTACTCACATAAGTGTGTTTGACATAGGAGGGCTTTCTTCAGTTACTAAGTTTAATCCAGTTTTCATAACCTGTTTAATACTTCAGAGAGTTGATCTTGTTTTTTTATAAACCTGGAAACCCTCGAATATTTGATAAATTGTTAATTTTTTTTTTTTTTCTTCGAGACAGGGTTTCTCTGTGTAGCTTTGGAGCCTATCCTGGCACTCGCTCTGGAAACCAGGCTGGCCTCGAACTCACAGAGATCCACCTGCCTCTGCCTCCCGAGTGCTGGGATTAAAGGTGTGGGCCACCAACACCTGGCTGAGGAATTGTTAAATTTTAAGGAGCCAAAGGTTAAGAAATTATTATCTTTAATTTAAAAAATCGCGGGTCATACTAGTCTCATTTCTACTTGTTACCTTTTTTCTCTTTCCTCAAAACTCCTTTTATGCCACTACCATTTTTTAGTGAGCTTAGTTTTCTTTATCAGCAAAGTATGGCCCAAATATCAAGTCTGACTTTTTTAAATAGAATGTTGTTTAGCTCTACCGACTCTTTATGCATTTTACAGCTGCTTTTATGCTAAACTCTGACCCAGATAAGTCTTACATTCCTTATCACTGGTATCAGCAAGTTACATTTGATCTTTTGAGATGCCAACAAATGATTTGGATTTGAAATCCTGATACCTTTCTTAGAGCTTCAGATTCTACTGATCTAGAAAGAAAATAATCTTTGAGATTAAGGGACTACATGTCCTTCCTGGATTATCAGTGGCAAGACCAGAGAAAGCCATGGTTTTATGTTCCACCTCCACTACAAAGTAGTAACTTAAAGTCAGTGGTGGTGTGGAGGTTCTTCTGATGCTAGTCATGTGTGTCTATGAAAAAGCACTGACATCTTCAAAGAATTGTGAATTTACCTTAAAGAGAAGGCTGATTTAATATGAAGGAACTGTTAATATAAGTTATATTTACCAATTTATTTTTAACTTTTGCTGCTTGGATCATAAGAATGTAAATGGTGAGTAAAGAACAAAAAAATTTTTATCATGTATGTTTCCTTTTTCATGTGTCTGGAAAAATATAGAAACCTAGTTTTCATAAAGTATTTCTGACTATTACATTTTTAAAGTGTTTATTCATTACAAATTAAGAATCTATAGCTTTGAATATTTCAAGCTTTGCCTTAAAAAATCACTAGTTTGATCATACTGATAATATTTTTTTAATTTGTTTGTTTGCTTATTTGTTTTGTTCTGCTTTTCAAGACAGGGTTTCTCTGTGTAGTTGTGGCTGTCCTGGAACTTGCTCCTTAGAACAGACAGGCCTCAGACTCAAAGAGATCCACCTGCCTCTGCTTCCCAAGTGCTGGGGAAAATTCTTTGGTTTTTTTTTTTTTTTTTTTTTGTGTGTGTGTGTGTGTGTGTGTGTGTGTGTGTGTGTGTTTTGCATTTTGTCGTTATACCAACAAATTCCTTTTTACTAAATAAAACAATGATCCCTTTCTTGTTTTTTATCTAATAATTTAAAAATTATTACACTTAGGTCAGTATTAAGATATAGTTTGTAGCTGGGAAGTGTTAACGGCACGCCTTTAATCCCAACACTTGGGAGGCAGAGACAGGTGGATCAATGTGAGTTCAAGGCCACCCTGGTCTACAAAGTGAGTTCCAGGCAGGGCAGTCAGGACTGTTACACAGAGAAACCCTGTCTCGAGAAAAAAAATAATAAATAAATAAAAGTTTATAGAGAGCTTTCTTTATGATAAACTAAAACAATCTAGTTGTATAGCATTTAGGATAACTAGCTGAAGATAACCTTGAACCTTCTGGTCCTTCTGCCTCTGTAAAATGTGTTTCTTTTTTATAAAAGTAAAATCTAGGAGCTAGAGAAATGGCTCAACAGTTAAGAGCATGTACTGTTCTTCTAGAGGGCCTGAGTTCAGTTTCCAGCAACCATGTTAGGAGGCTCACACTTATCCATAGCTCCAGCTCCAGTGGGATCTAGTACCCTCTATTGGCCTCCCCTACTCTCCCTAGACACACACACTTTAAAGTAATAAAAGTAAATTTTTATGTACTCAAATTTTAAATATAACATTGACTTTTAGGAACTGTTGATTAACAAGGATAAGTTTGCTGTTAATTAACTTTATTCTCAATTTTGTACTAAAGTGTTTTAAGTATTTCAGTTTTAGATTTTTCAGACTAGGTTTTTTTTTATATAGTACTTTTTTGGTTTTTCTTTTTTTTTTTTTTCAATATTTACAGTCCTCTTTATTTAATACAACAAACACATAACGTACAAAAAGAAACAGAAAACACTCATGTAAAAGACCCTGTCACAAAGGATCAACAGGAAACATCTATTCTGAATCAAATAAGGCTCTTATTTCAAAATGGTTTTTTGTTTTTTTGGTTTTTCAAGACAGGGCTTTCTCTGTGTAGCTTTGGAGCCTATCCTGGCACTCGCTCTGGAAACCAGGCTGGCCTTGAACTCACAGATATCCGCCTGCCTCTGCCTCCTGAGTGCTGGGATTAAAGGCGTGTGTCACCAACACTCGGCTATATAGTACTTTTTGTGTTAAGTAGCAGATGATTTAATGGTGCAACAAATCAGGAGTACCAAAAGTAAAACACAGAAAAAAAGGATTTCCAAATTCTAAAATCTTTTGTGCATCATAATTTTACTTATTGGTTGGAGCCCAGAAGCTCCAGGTAGCCGCATTGCATGCCTCTATGTAGAACAGTTCACATAGACTGCTGTATGACTAGAGTCTAAGAGGACCAGTATAATTTAAAGGAACCACAGTAATCTCTTTCACACATTTCTTCCATCAGAGTTTATTTTGTACACCATATTTAGAAAAGTTCTGGCTTTTGAAATATGTGAATCTGTGCTTTAATCTAATTATAAGCAAAATAGGTTTAAAGAGCATAACCTGAGGACTGGGAAGAGGGCTGAGCTCACATGGAAGTACAGATGCACAACCCCAGGACTTCAGGGTATGGAGCTCACTGACCAGGCAGTCTAGCCAAATTCAGTGAGAAGCCCTGTCAGAGAATAGAGGACAGCTGTGGCAGACACTCAGACACCATGTATATGCACATATACAAAAAATAAGCATAACCAGAAGAAAAGTAGATGTTTTAGCCAAGAATTCAAAAAGAAGAAAATAACTGAAAATTAAGAAATTTGGCATGTTTTGGTCAAAGCTATAACTTTAACATTGAGGGAATTTTTTTAGTGTGACATTTTATTAGGTTTCCAAAAAGCAAAAAGTTCTTAGGAAATGTCTATTTGCAGCAAAAGTAGAGCAGAGGAGAGTGTTCCCATGATGCACAGAATGTCAACTACAGTATTTTTTCTGATGGACACATTTTAGAAGGACCAGGAGCAATGGAGGGCTCAAATGCAAATACCCATGCTTGGTCCTTTTTGTTTGTTTGTTTTGTTTTTGTCCTCTAAAGACAAATACTTATTCACTGTATGACTATGGTAAGATAACTAAAATCTTTCAAATTTGTAACATTTATTTCTGTATGTGTGCATGTGAGTACCGTGTGTGTGTGCATGTGAGTACACATGTGTGTGCATGCACAGGCAGTGGTGCACACGTGAAGGTCAGAGGACAACAGGTCTGTTGTTTTCTTCCACTTTATCTGTTGTGCCTGCAAGGGTCTGTTGTTTTCTTCCACTTTATCTGTTGTGCCAGCTCCCTGGTCCACGATAACTAAAATTTAATTTCATTGCTTTTTAAAACATTTCTTCAGTGATAAGATTTCTGGGTTTGGATTAACTGGTTTGGGGCTAACTTTGCTGTTGGTGTACATGAGCTAATGCTTTGATGTAGCTAGCCTATATGCTTAGAGGACTGTCAGAGCTATAAAGTTGGTGTCATTCCTTTTTAGTTCATTTATTCACAGGAAGACCAAATAAGGTGAGACTTAATATAAGCTTCACACTACACAGATTCATACAAAGTGTGTAGGTCTTTGTGACCAGTCCAATGGACAATATTTTAGTTTTCCAGCAGAAAAGATTAGGTAAGGGGATTTTTCTTTCTTTCTTTGTCTTGTTATTTCTATAAGAAAATATCCAAAATATTAAAACCTTCATGTTTATTTTTGGAAATTAATAATTAACAGGATTTAGTAGGAAACTAATGAGGTTCAAAAGGTACTCTTACATCTTTTTGTTAATAAACTGAATGTTGATTAAATTTTTGTAGTAATTTTTTATTTTTTTGAAATCATAATTACATCATTTCTCCTCTTCCCTTTCCTCCCTCCACCTCTCCCATTTGCCCCCTCTCTCTCTCAAATTCGTGGCCTCTTTTTCTCTGATTGTTATTATATTTTTCCTAAATACATAAAGAGAACTTGCTCATTTCATCTAATGTTGCTTGTATGTGGATAATTTCAGGACTGACCACTTGGTATTGGATAACCAACCAGGTGTCTCTTCATTGGGAAGACTGTTTCTCCTACTGTGAGCATCCTTAGTTGTCTGTAACTCTCTGTCTATGCTTGAGACCTCCTGAGCTCTTCTCCTTCCATAATCATTTGTCTATTGGTGTCATCCTTGTTCAAATCTTTAGGCAGCCATGTTGAAAGACTTCATGGGTGTAGTTTCTCTGACATTTCTAGGAGGCATGCTCTCACAGCAAACCTCCTGTTCCTCTGGCTCTTACAGTCTTTCTGTCTCCTCTTCTGCAGATCCATGAGCCTTGGATGCAAGAGCTTTGTTATAGATGGATTGGTTGTGCTTTTCTGTGATGGCCTCTCCCTGTTGTAAAGAAAAGTTGCCTTATCTGTGGGTATAGAGGTAGACATGTAGAACATAGTTAGGGATTGTGCTGGTTTATTTAGTAAAGTGGCAGTTGTAGGTTTCCTTCAAGATCCATGATTTCGCTAGCTCTGGATAGTTGTCCAGGCTTCCTGTACCAGGCATGATTTCCCTCTTGTTGAGGAGGCCTTACATACAATTAAATAGTTGTTGGTTTCTGCCATGGTGTGCATGGCATGGTCACTGTGATTCATAGGCATCGTAGCTGAATAGGACTATTGGTTGTTCCCTCCCTTGAAAGTGGAGCCTTCTGGTATCATGAAAGCTAGTCCTCAGGGAGGAGGCTTTCAGGTCAGATCCTCTGCTCCTCTTGCTCAGGTCCTCTGGGTTCTGTGTCAGAAATGCACAGTGTATTCAGCAATAGGAACTTACCTTGCATCTCTAGGGGCAGCCATGGGCAAGAGCAATAGCCTGTAAAGTTTGGGGGGGGATCTCTTGGACAATGCTGACCACAACACGTAGGCCTGGTGTTGGGGTTTCTGTTAGCAGTGGCTCTTGGCTCTTGAGGGGAACATTGTTGGCCTAGATGGGAAATTTTCATTTAAAGTGTGTGTGTGTGTGTGTGTGTGTGTGTACACTTATGTATTGTGTGTAATTTTATGTAGTTAGATAATAATATGGTTCCGTATAACCAGATATCCTTGTTATTTAGCTTTCTCCCTTCCCTAACTAAAGCCCCCATAATTTTTTAAATTTTGTATGTATAGGTATTTTGCTGGCATGTGTCTGTGCACCAGATGCATGTAGGGCCCACAGAGACTAGAAGAGGGTGTCAGATCCCCAGAAACTGGAATAATAGGAAGTTAGGAGCCACCATATAGGTGCTGGGAATTGAACTTGGGTCCTCTAGAATAGCCAGTGCTCTTAACCATTGAGCCATTTCTTCGGCCCCTAGTGAATATTCTTAAAATTCATAGTCATGAACTTGGTTGTGTTTTTTTTGGAGTGGGGGCGTTGTTGTTCTTGTTGTTGTTTGTTGTTAACCACTTCGTTAATCCATCTTTTTATCTGAACATAGGAGGAAGTAGGGTGACAAGGGAGTTTATATTAGAATGTCAATAATTGAAGTAATGGTGGGAGTGAAATGGCAGCTAAAAGAGAAAGATGGTAGGGTTGGTTTATAGATCTAAGCTGGGCCAAAGACTTTTGCAATTGGCATGCTCAAGAAAGATTATGGGAAGAAAAACTCTGACCTGGTGGTGTACACCTTTAATTCCTAGCACTTTAATTCCCACGAAGCAGAGGCAGTTGGTTTTTTGAGAGTTCAAGGCCAGCCTGGTTTACATATCCAGTTCCAGGTCAGCCAATGCTACATTGTAAGACTGTGTCTCAGAAAAACAAAGCAAAAAGATTGTGGAGAAATGCACTTATTGTTGACAATAGGGTAAAGTATGACTCTCAGAGTATGGCTAAGATTATGGTGACAATTTAGAAAACTTTGCCTTTTTACATGAAAAGTCGACTTTGGGGCTAAAGAGATGGCTCGGTGGATGAAAGCACTTATGAAAACCAGAGGATCTGAGTAAAATTTGGGCATGGACATGTGTGCCTGTAATTTCAGTGTTAGGTGCAGAGATGATAGGTAGATCCTGGGGCTTGCTGGCTACACAGCCTGTCTGAAATGGTGAGCCTCAGCTTCGGTGAAGGACCCTGTCTCAAAAGATAGGGTAGAGAACAACAGAGAAGATAGTTAACCTACTTTCTGTTCTCTATGTATGCACGTAGGCACGCACACATATACCAAATTTAAAATTGTTTTAAGAAGGAACATCCAGCCATTCTTGCAAGAAGATTGCCTCAAAAATAAATAAAATTTTAAGTTGTGGTCTTTTAAGGAGATGATTAAGTCTTACTGTATCTCTGGCATGGTACTAGAAACAGTAAACACCAATGGTGTTTAGACAGAATCCTAATATTGCTTAGGATTCTTAGGAAAAGTGCTGCTTTTAAATTGATTGCTCACTACCTGGTGTTTGTTTTTGCCCTAGGACTTTATTATTACTCTTGTTGCCACTTTTTTATGGTTGGTGAGTTCCTCGGCCTGGGCTAAAGCTCTTACAGATATTAAAATAGCTACCGGACACAGTATTATTGGCCAACTTGAGCCTTGTCGGTTAACAGGAGTGTCATGTCACTTTGGTTCTGTGACTAGTATGGGATCCCTCAATGTATCTGTGGTAAGTATCCTATGCTTGCAAAGTTTCATTTACTAAAACATTTAAAAAAGTAACTTTCAATAATCAATAAATTGATTCTTATTTTACTGAGCTACTTGGGTTCTAATCAGGACACACACACGCGCACACACACACACACACACACACACACACACACACACACACGCACGCACGCACGCACGCACACGTGGATCGTATGACATGTAACCAAGATTAAAGGACACTAATAATGATAACTTTTATTGAAGTGGTGTATTTGAAGGTACTCAGCCACTCTGAGAGGAATATGAAAAGCAGTGTTGTTAGCGTTGTTGTACTGCTGAGAAACATGTTTTATACCTCTAAGGAGGCACAGCTTTTGAACCAGATCTGACTTTGTACCTGTTCTCTTAAGTCTGGTTTACTTAGAGTACATAAAATTAAAGTTTCTTAAATCTGTAAAATTTAGTATATGTGATTCATGAAATACTTTTCTACTATTTCATCAAACTGAAGTTGTCAATAATGTTGAATATATTCTATTTTGGAAGGTGTTTTCCAGGAAATACTTTTCAATAAGATAAAGTCAGTATTGCTTTATAAAGCAGTTTACCCACATTCTTGATAATAACCCATAATGTAAAAGTCAGTCCTTGGACTTTTTATCGACAGGCAGTACTGTGATTGGGACAATTTCAGAAAAATGCTGTGTGCACTTACACAAAAAAACGTAAAGCATTTGCTGTTTAGTCACATAGTTCCTCAGCTTCTACCCCATTCTTCCTTCATAAGTCACCATCACTGATTGATAAAAAGGACCTTGTTAAATGAAGGGGGTAGGTTTGTCTAGTCCTGTGTGTTGATCATAGCAGGGTGTAAAATAAAACCCTGGAATAGCAGAGGGAAGGAGATAAGGTTCAAACCATTCCAAATGGAAGAAAAGTGAAAACCTTGAGAGATGCAGACTCAGCTTCCTATTGACCTTCTTTACCCTGAGTACCAAAGTCTAAATTCAAAGTAATAAAGGAGTTACCACTTTTCTCAAATGTAATTCTATGTGCAGAAGTAAAGGTTTTCAATTTTTGTTGTTTTATGTTACAGATTTAGAGGGTTAGCATGTTGGGTATAGTAAGTCATTATACATCCAAAAGTTGTACAATGGACTGTATGTGTAGACTTTTTTTAATTCTACTTTGTAGTTTAAAGCAAACATTAGATTTTTATATTTGTTTCCCTCTTTCATAGATCTTTGGCTTTCTGAATATGATACTTTGGGGAGGAAATGCTTGGTTTGTGTACAAGGAGACCAGCTTGCATAGTCCATCAAATGCGTCAGCTTCCCACAGCCAAGGAGGCATCCCAACCCCTTCTGGAATGTAATTAAGTGGGGAATATACTGTATGAATGTGTGCTATACTGTGCCTTGTTGCCAACATCTTGAGAAGCATTATTGTTTCTAATAAAAAGTAATGGCTTTTTCAGTAAATTGGTGGGTTTAAAATTTTGCTGCTTTTCTATATAAAACTTGCTTTTTCTAGAAACATGAGATGTAAATGTGTTTTTACATGTAAGTTTGAACATTCAGGATCCTGTTATGAGATGATACTTATTTTTAAATCAACAGTAATTTCACTAAGTTACCTTCTAAAATGTTTACACCTTAAGCCTTACCATAAACCTTCATTCAGAAAAGTTATGTCATATCATAATATAGGAAGAATGAGTTTGGAATATACACTACTGTTTGCTTCTATGCATCATATCCTTAAGGCTTGGCTTGTTTTAAGAAAACCTTGATTGCATAAATTGTATTTAGAAAAAAATTAGTACAAATTTTATATCTGAATATTGTTCATGTTAAAAGTTTTTGAATTGAGAAGACTGGGTATATATTTTGTTTCTCTTTTTCTAAATGACCTGCTGTACTTATTAGGTATACTAAAATTGTCTTAGGAGCAAGGACTTGAAAATTGTAACATGTGTAGAGTTAACGCCACGCTTCTGTTGCCTGAGGTGTATTCATTATTTCTGGTGGTTTCTTGGGCTTGCTATGTTAGAAAGCATGGTTCCCACAATAGCTTTATAGATGTGGGCATTCTCAATGATGCTTCTTTGCTATCCTTGTTCATGCTAAGAAAAAGCTACCTTTTTTCTTCCAGACCCTGTTTAGAGGGTTACTAAAAATTAAGGTTGCTTTTTACTTTTGAAACATTTAACATTATTTAGTCAATGAAGTTGCTTCTCCTGAGTTTAACATTGATATTGTGAAAATAAATGCAGTTCAGATTTCCTATTTCTTAATATTCATTCGTACTTCACAAAAGGATGACTAAGGAATTATGCTCATAAAGGAACCCAGTAAGCTGTACTGTGTGTGTGTGCTGTCCATATGCACACATTTGGGTATGTTCAGACTACAGTGCTTTTTGTTCCTCGGCTTTTGTCGTACAGGGATCCAGATTTCCTATTCTCACAAGATGATGTTTGTATGCGGAGCACATCTTGAGATAGTGCCTTATTTTTATTGCTTTATTCATGGTGAAGTGTCTGTGTAAGAATGTATGTTTAATACAGCAAACAATAAAGAAGTTAAATACAGAGTGCCCAGTTGTTATGTCACAGTAAAGTCTCCCCCTGAAGGTGTGAGCATCACAGAATGGAACTGGTTTTCAAAGCAGGAGGTAGAATTCCAATAGTGTTTTAGTGTTTCATTCTCATTAGAAAACATTTAAACTCTTAGATTGTTTTTCTGGTAAAAGTTTTCTAATTGATCACTCAAATAACAAAGATTACTGATTGAGAAGTTACAGTTTCTGCAGCTGCTTATACAGCACACTGAGAACACTGCTTGTCTTGCATACATGAGGGTTTTAATCCCCTGCACTACACATAACCCAGCTGTGGCAGCCCAAGCCTCTAATCTCAGCACTCCAGTTAAGGTCATCCTTGGCTACCTGGGGAGTCAAAGGCCAGGCTAAAATGTGTGAGTCAGGTCCATTCATTTGCTCATTTCTCTCTCTCTCTCTCTCTCTCTCTCTCTCTCTCTCTCTCTCTCTCCCCCTCTCTCTCTCTCTCCCCCTTCCTGTCTGTCTGTCTGTCTCTGTCTCTCTTTGTGTGTGTATGCCTCTGTCTCTCATCTATCTCTTCTTACCTCCTGCTTCCCTTCCTCCTGCTCTTCCCACCCCCACCCCCGGGAGCCAAACTGCGTGGGCTTGAATCTAGCCTTGGCCATTCACTAGCTGGCTAACAAGATGAAGTACCCTTTCTACCTCTGTATCTGAAAACATGGAAATGTGTACTGACCTTGGGCTGGAGAGATGGCTTAGGGGTTAGGAGCACTGGCTGCTCTTTCAGAGGACTGGTTTCAATTCTCAGCACCCACATGACAACTAGTAGCCAACTATAACTTCAAGGGGATCCAATGTCATTTTCTGGCTTCCACAGGCACTTGCCATGTACACAGACATACACACGCAGGCAAATCACTCATATACATCTTTTTTTTTTTTTTTTTTTTAGTGGACTTCAAAAAGTATATGAAAAAAAGGAAATGGCAATGAAACCATGTTCATTCAGTACATCATAAGTTCTTTGTAAATGTTAGCTATGTCTAAGACTGTTAGACATAGGAGGTTGGAGAAGCAGGAAGAACTTCAATCATACAAACCTCTTCCTTTGTAGTGTTTACAGTTTGATTTAACTAGTCCAAGTGTTTGACTGTTTGTTTTTCTGTTGGTAGTAGATATTGATAAGGTAAGGTAAGGTCTATTGAAATTAGAGTGAACTTGGAAAGGGCTCCTATGATCCCCTCCCCTCCACACTGCTTTTCAGTGAACATTACAGAGACAATTCTTAGGACAAACTCAGTAGAAGCTCTCACTTCCCAGAGATAGGCTGCAGATAGCTGTTTAGAAACAGACTCATTGCCAGTGTGTGTGTGGGGTGGGGGGGTGTGATTTTAATTTCACATGAACAAAGATCATTTTCAGTCTGTAAAAGGTAAGGGCAGCAGTACATGATATTTTATGTTTTGGGCATAATTATAAGTTTTTATATAATATTTCCAAAAGAAGGTAAATGTATAAAGTCATATATAAGTTTCTTTATATGCACCAGACTTTTAAAAGAAAAAAAATATTAAAGAAGAGCCTTTTCCCTACTGAGATACAGTTGATACAGAAAGGTCAGGAATGAATATTCTTACCAATACTTGATGCTGCCAGGAAGTGAGAATTTCTTCCTGTGGATGTAATCAGTGCCCCATGTCATCTTAGTAGTAACTCCATGGCATTTACATAGGCTGCACTTTACTTTTCCCATCTGTGCCTTGTATTTTTACTGGGTTTTTGTCATATGAGTTTGTTCATTTCGATGGTATGTAACTATCTTCCTCGTGGTTTTGGCCATAGTGAAATCATGTATTCTTGTATACATTTTAGGATCAGCTTGTCAAGTTCCTAAACACCTTTGTAGGGTTGCATCTGTAAAGAATTGCATTGGATTTATAAATCCATTTGTGGAGAACTGTCAAGTTTATAATGCCATGATTTTGTATTTATAAGCATGGTATGTTTCTGCACTTACTATATCTAATATGCTTTTCAATAAAGTTTTTTTTGTTGTTGTTTTCCATGTAAAGACAAAATTATACTTAGCCTCAGAAATGTTCACGCTATTTACATAATTAGATTGTGTTCTGAATTGAGTTGCAATTGTTTGTTGCTGTTATTCATAAACACATGTGTATTTTTACCTACTCATTAATAGAAGTTGGCAGGTTTTCACACTTTGAATTTTTCTTAGAGAATTAAATTTTATTTATTTTGTTTTTTTTTTCTTTTTATTATTATTATTAATTCAAGTTAGGGAACAGGCTTTTTTCCCCTTTCAAAACCCCCTCCCCCCCTCTCCCCCCCCCCCCCCCCCCCCTCCACCCCCCCCTCCCCAGGCAGGGTAGGGCCCCCAACAGGGGCTCCACCAAGTCCACCAAATCTTCCTGTGCTGGGCCTAGGCCCCTCTTGAATTTTTAATATGTAAATTTTTCTGGTATTTAACATATTATGTTTGGAAGTTAGACTAGACATTCTAATGGTATTGTCAAAATATTTTAAAAGTAGAAAATATATTTACTGATGGGAGATGTTTATATGCATATATGTTTCTCTTATTGGTTGATGAATAAAACACTGGTCAATAGAGGCAGGAAGATAGACAGGGTTAGGAGACTAGGAGAATGCTGGAAAAAGGAAGGCAGAGAGAGGCTGCAGGGAGATGCCCTGTAGAAACTGAAGATAGAAAGTGCTAGGTGTTCTCCAGTAAGATAAGGCCATGTAGAAATGCATAGATTAATAGTTATGGGTTAATAATTAAGACAGAACTAACCAATAAGAAGCCCTAGCCATTGGCTAATAGTTTATAATTTAATATAGCGTCTGTGTGCTTTTTGGGGGCTGAAGAGCGACAGGACCTGGAGGGACAGAAACCTCCATCTTCAATTTACCTGACACTGATAACTATTTCTGTGCAGCACTTGTCACCACATACTTATACTGTTGTATATTGGTTCTGTAGTAACATAAACTCTGATTAGCATCAATTGTTTCTTTGTATAATTGATCCCTCAGTGGGAAATACTAGATGGATTAAACTGGTCACAGTAAGAATGGTCGTATGAGTTTCTTATGTTGAAATTTGTTTGGCTTTTCTTGGATAAGAATAGCATTTAGAGCCAGGCAGTGGGGCACACACCTTTAATCTTAGCACTTCAGAGGCAGAGGCAGGTATAATCTTAGAGTTCAAGGCCAGCCTGGTCTACAAAGTAAGTTACAGGACGGCCAAGGTTATACAAAGAAACCCTGTCTGGAAAAACAAAAAAAGAATGGCATTTATAGTTGATAAATAAACATGTCTGAGGTACACAATTTAATATAGAAATGCATCTGGTGAAGCTCATCACATCTAGATAATGAACCAATATCAGTTACTGCTTAGAGTGTCCCCTACCCTTCCGACCTATGCACTCCAGCCACTGTTGTCACTGGGTATTTTCTAGTATTTTATGTAAATGAGTTCATCTTAATACGCAATATGTTTTTTTTATTTCTGAGTGATCTGTGTTTGAATTTCCACAACTTGCCTATGTGCCTATTGTTGGTGAATAGGCTGCTGGAACTTTGGGCTAATGACTGTTTATAAACATTCATGAGTCCTTTCCCTAGGAGCAGTGCTACACGCCTACAACCTCAGGACTTGGGAGGCTAAGGCAGAAGGATCGTGAGTTGGAAGAAAGACCGGACTACATAATGAAACCATACTTAAAAGGGGAAAACACCAAAATGACAAAAAAAAAAAAAAAAAAAAATGTTAGCGATGGCACACAATTTAGACACCACATTCAGGAGGCAGAAGAAAGCAGATCTTGCTGAATTCAAGTCCATCCTGGTCTACATAGTGAGTTCAAGATCAGCCAGGGCTACATAGTATGCCAGCTAGCTGTCACAATCCAGAAGCTTCAGAGAGGAGGAGCCTCAACTGAGCAAATGTTTTTATAAGATCTAGTCCTAAGTCACTAATTTTCTTAATTAGAGATTGATGGGGAGGGCCCAGTCTTTTGTGGTTGGGGCCACCCCTGGGCTGATGGTCCTGGGTTCTATAAAAAAAAATAGACTGAGTAAGCTATGGGGAGTAAGCCAGTAAGCAGCACTCCTCCATGGCTCTATATCAGCTCCTGTCTACAGGTTTCTGTCCTGCTTGAGTTTGAGTTCCTGTCCTGACTTCTTTGATGATGAACAGTGATATGGAAGTATAAACCAAATAGATCCTTTCTCCCTAACTTGCTTTTTGGTCATGGTGTTTTATCACAGCAATAAAAACTAACTAGGACACATAGTGAGACCCTGTCTCAAACAATTTTTTTTTTAAAAAAGCTGTGTACATACTATAATATCTACCTGGACAGGGTGCATATCTGTCATTCCATCATTTAGGAAGTAGATGTAGACAGTAGTTTCTGTCCCACGTCCCAAATAAACACATGGAGGCTCAATGGATCAGGCTTCTTATTGGCTAGGTCTCTCTTAATTATTAAACCATTTCTATCCTGTGTATCTCCAAATGGTCTTGGCTTAATGGTGTTGTCCAGACATCTGGCTCCCTTGACAGTTATTTGGCATCTCGCCTGAGACTCACTCTCTGCCTTCCTCTTCCCAGCTTTCTCCTAGTCTGGTAACCCTGCCTCTATTTCCTGCCTGACTATTGGCCAAAACAGCTTTATTCATCAACCAGTAAGAGAAACATATTCACAGCATACAGAAGGACATCCCCCATTAGGTAGAGGCAAGGGAATTGGGTTAAAGTTACATACCAACTTCCCAATCTCTCTCTCTCTCCCTCTCTCTCTCTCTCTCTCTCTCTCTCTCTC